CGCCACGCATGCTTGCAAATTTTTAGCCTCAGATCTTGGATCTAAAGCTGTTAAAGACGCTGGCGGCTCAGTGTAGTAGGTTTAGGGTTTAGAGATCTTGCGGAGCCCATATCTTTGCGATGGAGGGTCGGATGGAGCTGAAATTTGATGGGGCCGTTGATCTTAGCCGGCCGCGCATGCTTGCAAATTTTCAGCCTCAGATCTTGGATGTAAAGCTGTTAAAGACGCTGGCGGCTCTATATAGTAGGGTTAGACTCAGATTAAGGGTTAGGGTTAGATTTAGGTCGTAAGTTAGAGGGGAAGGCAGCCGCCGACTCCTCAGGTGTAGGATCTGTTTGCGGCTTGAGGATTTTCCAGTTTCGGAAGTGTAGTTCATGAACTCATTTTCTCTGCGTGTTTGTGTCCTTAGTTCTGTCACCGCGCAAGAGGAGCTACAGCTTGACGAAGTTACCGCATTTTGTAGCTGAAGGTCTTCGACCAAATGCTCAGAGCTAGTGTAGTATGGTTAGTGGACTACTATGGTATGTGGACTACCACAAGTGTCTTCGGCCGATGATCTTCAACATTTGGGTAAGACAACCTCGGATGTGCCTACAGAGTTGCAAGAGCCGGCGGTGGAGCCAATTTTGGGCGAGACACTTTTGGAACAAGTGGTGGCGAAAGTGGAGAGAATTGTCGCGAAGCATTCGACGATGTCTTTGTGTAAGATGTCTTCGGTTACAATCAAATTTGACTACGACGGAGGGTCTTCGGCCGAGGAGCCGAAGACGTTGGAGTTTAGTTTAGTTGATCTTTTGAGTGATGGGATAGTTCCCTTAGTCAAATATTTAGATGGAAAGATGGCAAAGTACTTGGAGCCAGAGTGAGCAGGATCTTATGTCGAGTTAGTGTGTATGGGGACTAAGGCGAAGGTGTCAGCAAATGTGAAGGTAGCAGAAAGAGTTGCGAGCTTAACTTCTGAGTGCGAGACCATGACAGTTATCTTGCAAGAGCGGGAAGAGCAACTTCGGGTGAAAGAGTTGGAGTGTGCAGAATTTTGACGAAAGCTAGCAACTGAGGAGAGCTTTCGTACGCAGAAGGAGCTAGAGTGCAAGTACCTTCGGGTTGACATTAGCAATGTGCAAAAGTTGACGGTGGAGCTTCGCGACAAATTGGAATTGTTTTGAGAAGGATTTGAGAAGAAATCTCGTTGCATGGAGGAGTTGACGGCAACTCTGGTGGCACGGGATCAATTGCAGGCTACCGAATTGGCTCGTTGGGCGTAAAAATTGGCTGATTGCAAAGCTGCCCAAACTTCGGAGTTAGAGCGTGGGAAGTAATTGGGTGCAGATTGCAATCTCAACTGTCGGCAGTTGAGTGGCAATTGGTCGCGGCTCGAGCAAAATTGGTGGAAACTAAGGCGATTGTCCAATGATTGTAACAGTAGACGGATGCTGGTTTGCGTGCAATGATAGAAAGATGTTTTCGCCCTTACGTGAATCGGAAGATTCAAACTACGAAGTGGACAAAATTAGGTTCACTAGAGCGATGATTGAAGCAATTGGGAGCTAGCGGAGCCGTAGAACATTGGCAATTAGGTAGGATGGTTTGTTTTTTCATTTTTGATTTAGAGGAGACGAAGGAGAATCTAGAGTTAGAGCTTTCAGCAGTTTTGAGTAGGATAGGAGTTCTGAGGATGTGGCAATTGCTGCATCTGCGGAAGTCGCACATGATGGGGGCTCGCAGCTAGCGAGTGATGCCTCAAGGTGTTTGTTGTGAATAAAGAGACACGAGGCTTTGCCTTCGGGAGACTTTTTCATGAGTAAGTTTTGAGTCTTAGCCTGCATTCATCTGCACGTTCGGGAGTTATGTGTTTTGTCACAGTGCACGAGTTGCTTCAGTTTGTCACATCTGAAGTAGAGATTTAGGGTTTAGGGTTTGAGTGGGTTCAATTCGGATGTTCTGAGTGCTGCATATTGTAACTCAAGATTTAAGCAAATCTATACATTGAAAGCTCAGTGCAGTCGGCTAAATGTGTAATCTTGGAAAATTTTCGCTCAATATCAATTATAGAGTTGCTTGCAATTTCTGTGGGGTGTATTGGATGAATTTCATGATTTGGATGTGATTTCACCCTACACATGTATCGCTTTTGGCCTTAGCAATTGCAGATGCTTATGGGAGTGACATGTGCTTGAGAAGTAAAAATCTTCAATAGAACGTTAATTCGTGATAGTTTTTGAATCTCTGGTGTTCATTTTGTCCTTGTGGGAACGGATCTTTACCATTATGCTCCATTTTGATATTTATATGTTATTACAACGCGAATTAAGGAGGAGATTGTTAGGGTTAACTTCGGTTAAGAAGTAACCTCATGTGCAATTATTTATAGCTAAGATCGGTCGTCTATGTTGGATATATATACCTTGATGCTTCTGTGAGCATGTCATGTTTTTCACCTGAAGTAGTAAACTCTCTTGAGTTTATTCCTCTGTGGACATAGCCCTTGAGGGTGAACCACGTTATACTTGTGTCTTTTTTGTCTCGTGTTGTTGGCTTGCTAAGTGTGATTTTGAGTTTTACTAATAGATCATTGTATGCCAGAAAGATTTTGACAAGACTCAGCCTGCTTGAAAATTGACTTTTATAATTTAGTAAAAGCAATAGTTTGGCAAAATACCTACAAATCCACACTTATTAGTTTATTAGACCCTCCATATCCAAACACTTATCAGTTTTTGAAATAAAAATTGGGTTGCATAAAGACAATGGGGACAGCAATCACTAAAAAAAGATACTGATAAGAGGTTGTTGGAAGAGATGTTTTTGAAAATGTTGAGTATAAAAACTACTTGCTTCAAATAAATGAGTTTGAAACATCCATGTCTTTCCGTTACAAGGAAATGGTATCTAACGATTCAAGCATGATGATGATTTATCAAAAATCATATCTTGCTTGAGTTTACATTGGAGGGCTTGAGCTCCAGCGATTAGTGTATCAATAATTTTCTTCTTTGAAATTTGAAAACGAGTTTGATGATTGTTGAGATTATCTTTATTCTCTTCTTTAAGACTAGTGAATGTGAATCACATACAATTTATCGAGTTTGTACTAAGCATAGAGCTACGTTTGTATGAGTGTACCATTTTGATATAGAGAGAGTGACATACCTTCTACAGAAGTCTGCTACATAGAGAGTTTTATACCTTCAATAGAACTGAAACGAGTATAGTACTTTCTTAATGCAGAAATGATACATATCTTCTACAATAACTTACATAATGAGTTGAAAGAAAAACACCCAATATCTGTCATAGTGTGATATGTATTGCGATCAGACAAATGTCATAATAAACATGCGTATACTTAAAGAAGTTCAAATTTAGAGAGAACAAAGATAGAACGTCTGTTCATATCACAATACATAGAAACATTGGTGATACACGTGATGCTCCATTGGACGCCTGTCCAGTCCTGAAGGTATAAAGTTTCTCCCAAGTCGTGTGTAGGAATTGCAACGCCTCTCATAAATCTGTCAAGTCAAAATCATAAGTGTTTATCTAAGATTTTAGTAATTTTCAGTAATTGGAGTCACTCATAGACCACCAGATAGACCACAAATAACCATCAGAATTACAGCCCTGCCAAGAATCCATTCCACCGACGTGGTTAGTTGCATCAATTTTTGTTGTCCTTACTGGTCGAGCTACTGTATCACTACAGGACACAGCTGCGACTCATTTACGGAGGCCTACGGGGTGTTCACGACGAAAGAGTTTGGAAACTATCAATAGTTTTCTGAGAAACTCTAGTTCGTGTGGAAGCTGGTGAAGACAAACTTGCAAACAAACAGAGGAGAACATCTCAAGTCTCCCACGCTGAACCTTGTCGATTCATTACGGTCAAGTTGTCACGACGGACTCGCCGCTAAAGTATAAAAAATAAAAGATGATAAGAATAAAAGTTTTGAGCAAAGAGACGCTTTGCCAACGAGACCTACAGAAACCTGCTCTCACCCATAGGATCAGCACGCTTACCAACGTTGCTTACATGTGAGATCGGTATCTCATTCCAGTGCAAAGAATCATGCTCCGAATCCAAAGAACCAACAAGTTATATGGATCGATGTTGAATTCACTTATAAGTATAACAGATGTCTGTAGAGGTGCATCAACCCAATATAGAGCCTAACGTTTGATGCTAACTACCAAAAAAATGTGCATGAAAAATCTTGAGCGTGCAACGCGAAGTGACTCGGAATGTTCATCAGAGAAAGTCCAGCTCATGGCTCGAGGGAAGGAAGCAGGAGCCGAAGAATCAAAATCTGAATGATACGGTTTGAAACTAAAAGACAAAAAGTTTCTCATGTTTCCTTTCTGCCCGGCCAAGAATACAGGCTATCGCCTAATACTTCAGATGCTTCGAAACAGCACATTGTTAACAGAGGATGTGAAGGTGATTAGACTTCCACTCTTGCACTACAGAAATTCTTCCTGTAGTGCAACTGAAGACGAAGAGCTTAATGCCTCGATCATCCTACCCTGACAGTAAGACCTCATAATTCCTACCTACTGTTCGAAAACTTTCGAGAAAGAAAGAATCGCCCTCAGATTCTGAGCCCTGCTGCACACTGACAGAAGGCTGCCTCGAGAATCAGAAGAACAGTCAGAGGATCTAGTATCCGCCAAAAGCTCGCGCACCGTACAAATCAAAAGGTAACATGTAATCCATGTACATTTCTCTCAGCGATGAAAGACATCCATACACTGCACTCTCTCCTTTCCAACTCCCCATCAACCTACAAATAAGTCCAGCAATTATTGTCAAGAAAAGGCTTTAGCAACCAAACAAGCAATTGAATATGTGATAGAGCATCAGATGCACCAAAATCTAAATGATGATTGGAGATAACGAGTAATACACCCAAAAATCTAACCTGTTAGGTGTGATACTCCTAACAGTCCACCTTTTCTCTCTTCTATTGCCGTGCTCCCATCTTCTATTGCAGCGGTCTCGTATCGTCTATTCCTCTGCCGGTACCATCGCCCAGACCTTCTACAACATACGGTCGAGAACCCTGCAGCGTCCAGTACGCGAGGTCGTACCTTTCGTAAGTTTGGGCACAGGCATTCTCGGCATCGACTGGTTGCTGAACGCAGGACATTCGGTCGTTATGTCATGTCCTTAATGCTGATCATGGAGGGTCGCCCTGACGATGGAAGGCTCTAAGAGCCGACTCGCATGGCGGCCATAAAAGCTTGCAGCATCTGGAGGGGATTCACAGTTTCGGGTTCACCTCCAGCAAGTAGAGTACACGAGTACTTGGCTGTGGCAGGAGCGCACGATATGACAGCGGTGAGGTGATGAAGTCGCTGGTCGACCTCACTGAGTTTCTACTCGAACAAGGCGCATCCTGCTGCAAGCCATCTTCATGTTAGAGTCCGGCCAATATGCCTACCGAAAAGTAGGGACGGATGCTTAGTGAGGTTAGTGACCAATTGTTCTTCGTATTGTTGTTTTTCCCTTTCAAGCTCCCTCATTTGCTCGTGCACAATTTTTGTTATAAAATAGAGGTATGCACATGTGCATATCGGAATTCTTTGCAAGCTTACAAGGTAAAATTTGAAGCTTGCCTCTCCGGCTCTTTTGCAACAAAATTAGGACCATATAATGTGTAAAGGTTGGATAAAGAAAAACTTAATCCTGGTAACTCACGATATTTGATCATTGTGATGCACGAGGCTGGTCCCCATTATTAGTCAGTTCAAGAGCTAATTGCACCTTCTAGGCTTTGAAAATTTTGTAGAAGAGATGCTAAAATAGGCTGCTGGAAATTATGTATCTGTCGTGGCATCGTAATGTAGCCTGAGTTGAAAAGAAGAACTGTTTACCCTGGGAGGTAAGATATTTCCATTTTGTTATTGAGCGTCTTGAAGTTTCTCATGGATCTTAACGATTTTCCGATTTCATGCAGCCCTTGAGGTTATGCTGTCAACTGAATTCGAAGCCCAGTCATTGGTATTTCGTTTGGACCTTCAAGCAACGCCCAGCCTTAACGGAGAGAAGGATGAAGTCTCACGTACTGGTAACTGCAGTGCTGCTGTTAATCCAGCACCTGCTGGCTCAAAAAACGAATGGAGATTCCTCAAGATCATCCTATGCTTGTACTAGCAGAGAGTCCAAATCGTATTCATTTTGCGATAAGGCTCTTTCGATCGACGAGCGCGTTGCAGATTTAATCTCCCGACTCAGCTTGGAAGAGAAGATCTCTCAATTGGGGAATGGAGCTGACGCGATATCCAGTGTCGACGTTCCTGCTTACCAGTGGTGGGGTGAAGCGTTGCATGGAGTGGCATACTGTCCTTCCGTGCACTGGGATGGTCCTGTGAAAGGAGCCACAAGCTTCCCAATGCCCATTTCATTGGCTGCATCTTTCAACAAATCTTTATGGAACAAGATTGGTCAGGTTTGCGCCCTTAAATTTCACTATCCGCCGGAGATTGTAGTTATTCTTCCTAAAAGTAAGTTCAACACGAGCCTGTCAATTTCGCCAACTGGGAGCTTTGCAAGCATGCATCACACGAGGGGAGGAGAACTCTGCATATTGGTAGAGCATAAATGCTGGATAGAACTGATCCTCATGAGATTGCTTTTGAAGATATCAGACGAGAACAAAGGCTGGCTGAAGCAAAAACCATGTACTTCTCATGCTACGAGAAAGAACTCCACAGACAGAATGATGGAAATACTTAAATACCTATCGGGGACCAACCTGCAAGCACACTAGTGTCAATTGAATTTCCCTTCTTGCTTTTGACCAGATGGACCTCTAATTCCATTCCTAAATCATAGGTCATATCAACCGAAGGCCGAGCGATGCACAACTTAGGGCAATCAGGATTGACTTTCTGGTCTCCAGTGATCAATCTGGTCCGAGACCCCCGATGGGGAAGAGTGCAAGAAACTCCTGGAGAGGACCCATATCTCATAGGACAATATTCAGTTTATTTCGTGAGAGGGATGCAAGAGGCGAAGGATTACGACCCTTCGAACGAAGACGACAACGAAAATGAGAATTTCGCGCTGAAAACGTCTGCTTGCTGCAAGCACTACACAGCTTATGATCTGGACAACTGGCAAGGCGTCGAGCGCTACGACTTCGATGCTAAGGTACAGCAATCGTGATTGCAATTTCACTCGAGCCTCGGCTCGACAAAAAAACACATCTCAGTGAGTACGGTCCGCTTTTGCAGGCCAGCAACTACCAGTAGATGTACACGATGCCCATTGCTGTCAATGTGCGCACTGAGCTCAGACAGATACACCACTCGCTCACTCGTGAACGACTGACTGGATGTGCCGACTCTTTGTGAAGGTGACCATACAAGACTTGGCCGACACGTACAATCCACCATTCCAGAGCTGTGTCGAAGAAGGAAGAGCTAGTTGTTTGATGTGCTCCTACAATAAAGTCAACGGCGTTCCGACATGCGCTGATCCGGAGCTTCTGAAAGGGACTGTGAGGGAGAAATGGGGCCTTCGAGGGTAAGTCCTGGAGCCGAGCTGACCTCCGAACAACCGCCACGTGGATTGCTTCCGGCTGACGTGACGCTGACTTGTGCTTGCATTGGATGACGTGTGGCAGCTACATCGTCACCGACTGCGACTCGTTGCTCGTCATGTACGACGAGTCCCGATATTCCAAAGGTCCTGCGGAGGCGATCGCGACTGCCATGCTAGCAGGTACCGAAATGATTTCCCTGCTTTACGACTAGCATGCTGACTACTAGCTCAGATCGTCACCGATCCGTCGATGATCTGTCTGCTCGACTGTTGACATGGATCATCATGCATCGGGGAGCCAAGACTACTACTTATGGCAGGGAAAATCCTGTGGTGTGAGCAGGGCTTGATCTGAATTGCGGTGCTACGATTAAAACCTATGGAGCTTCTGCTGTACAGCAAAGACTGATATCCGAAGCCGACATCGATCGAGCTCTGAATAATACTTTCACCGTTCTCATGAGGCTGGGAATCTTCGATGGAAACCCCCTCGATCAGCCTTACGGACGCCTGGGAGACGATCATATATGTAGTGAGGAACATCAAGACTTGGCTACAGAGGCAGCTGTTCAAGGCATGGTGCTTCTGAAGAATGACGAGGACACCTTGCCGCTTTCTTCCCGTCATATCAAAACCTTGGCAATCATAGGGCCGAATGCAGATGATACGAAATACACAATGCTCGGAAACTATGCAGGTGAGTCGGTTCTCATGGAGACATAACGATCGGAGGTTATCGATGAACCTGCTTTTCTCCGTGCGAAACATCAGTTTCCTTTCTAGAATCGAAGTGAGCTGTGCATGAATGGAAATATATATAGCCCACTGTCATGGACCTGAAGCTCTCTATAGGCTCTGCAGTGAAGCATGCAACATAATTGACAGGTGTCAGCATTTCTTGCCCCTTCAATGTGCAGGTCGACCATGCACGTATATCACTCCACTTCAAGGCTTATCGACCTACGAGATCAATAATGTTATCTTCGAACCTGGTTGCTCCAGTATAGATTGCAGCTCAGATGAGAAGATCGAAGATGCGTTGTCTGCTGCAAAGAAGGCGGACGTAGTGATTCTTGTGATGGGACTCGACCAGGACCTTGAGAGAGAAACATTCGACCGAAACAGCTTGAAATTGCCTGGAAAACAAGAGCTGCTCGTCTCATCCGTCGCAAATGTCTCAAATGGTCCAGTTGTGTTAGTGCTAATTTGTGGAGGACCCCTGGACATATCATGGGCAAAAAACGACTCCAGAATACAGAGCATTTTGTGGATGGGTTACCCTGGCCAGGCCGGTGGTCTAGCTTTAGCCCAAATAGTATTCGGTGACAGAAATCCAGGTGGGTTAACAAATGTTTCAGTGAGACTCACAGATGAAGCTCAGAACAAAAGCTGTAGGTCAAAGCCACATTTGAAACTTCAAATAATGCCCGTGAATTAACAATTTACAACAGCGTAGGACCTATGCTGACCTCCGTTTAATCTCTTGTTTCTTTCTGGTTCCAGTTGGGAGGCTGCCAGTGACATGGTACCCTGAATCTATAACGGACTGGCCAATGACATGTATGAACATGCGACCGGACCCTCACACTGGCTATCCTGGACGGACACACCGCTTCTACAATGGACCTACGGTTTACGAGTTCGGGTATGGCATGACCTACTCGAAGTCCACGACCATGGAAGTCACTGGACCCACCAATTTCACAGCACCTGCTTTGTTCCAACAGGCCTGTTATCACAAACGCTTCACAGCAGAACAAAACGACTCTACTGGATGCTCGCCATCAGATCTAGTTGCTTGTTTGGAAGCAAGCCTTCCGATAAACATCACTGTTAAGAACAGAGGACCCAGAGCTGTTACAGAGGTAGCGCTTGTGTACCATGTTCCCCCTAGAGCAGGTGAAAATGGCACCCAATTGAAAGAGCTGATTGCCTTCGAGCGAACCGAAGTGCAGCCCTTCTCGTCAAAGAAGATTCATTTGATCATTAATCTGTGCCATCACACAAGCACGGTTAAGTCAGACGGGAAGCGATCTCTTCAGTTAGGAACTCATAAGGTTGTCGTAAGTCCAGGATCAGGAACATCTGCAGAACATAGGTTCTATGTACACTGAGCTTATGGTCTTCCTGATTTTCAAAATACCTCGGAATTTAGTACTCTCTGCTTGTTTCTGGAATTTGAACCGGCAACTTCCTCTAACACCGTTAGTGTTTGAATTTGCTTCATATCGATGTACGTCGCAGTACATCGAGCAACCTTCTTAAACCTTTGCGGACTTCGATGTCAAGGGTTTAGGATTTAAGCTTAACCCTAAACGCTTAACGTAAACTTTAGCACATGAAAAGCTCGTGTTCTATTGAACTCTTAGAAATCTGAATCATATGCATAAACTTGAGCAAGAAAACGATTTTTAAGCTCTTAATGCGTTGATTTTGAGTTTTTTTATGTTGCTCAAAATCTAATCTACATGTATATGAACGCTGATTTTAGGATTTTGTTTTCATAGTCAAAACTCATTCATATCTAAACAAACATTTGAAGTCCCCAGATTTTATTTTTTCAGGGTAAGATCACAGTAAGTGCCGATCGGCTTGCAAGGAAACTTTTCTTATAAGAGAACTAAATCAGGGAGAATTTCTAACGGTACATTGAGTGCAATAGCAATTTTAAGAAACTTTGGCGTTCACCCAAATGCTAAGACTTGGGACTGAAGTCTTGACCTTGGATAATTTTTAATGTGTACCAAGTTTCTTGGTGAGCGATCAAAACCTCATGCATTATCCACGGGTAGTTCAAGGGTAGAGTTTTTCCTGGTTTCTCATTCTCCATATACTGAATACCTTATGTGCGCGTTAACTTCAAAGCTATTGTATAATTCCAATAGATTCTTGAAAATCGGCCACTGTTTTATTATAGTGTACTTGAGTGACAACCATACGTACACAAGACCCATGTCCCTGTATACCAGGTGAAGTTGTCGACATTACATGACTTGTATCTCATGGGACCGGACTCTATTAACTCTTCATATCATGCCAAATCACGACTGCGTCGATAGAGTTCAAGTGCGTCGATCTCAATGTATCGTCTTATATTGGCCGACAAAGCTGTGAAGTTCCTGCTAACGAGTTCAAGATTTTTGCCATGTAGATGCTTTCTGAGTTTGGAACCACACACTTCCTTTATTAGATTTACACTCATACTCTCAGGAAGAGCGCTTTATTGAGGGGTGGCAAACTTGGGGCTTGCAAGACATTTGAACTCTAAATTATCATAACTAGATCTGCTGTAGGGAACTTTCATCTTCATCATGTCATCTATCACTTCGATTTCTTATAGACGTTATGGGTTTCATCACCAGCTAGGTAATTAAGCCTTCATGTATATATTGACATTCCACTGATGGATCTAGACAATACAACTTTGAGCGAATGTTGGAAATTCCGTCAGTCATTCCAGTTTTTTCGTGGACCCCAATTTATTCTATTAAAAGTAATACATTCAAACTCAAGCTTACACGGAACCCGTTCAGCATTAGAATAGCTTTGTTTCTCGCGGTGGAAGTTTTTCCCTCCAGAATGTCAACGGATCTCAGGTTCAACCTTGTACTTTGATCAAACATCTAGCAATAATCGTACAATGGAATCCCGCAGTGAAGGATTATCTGCAAATGCAAGAATGTAAAATTCTGGCTCACAGTACGTGGTCAATTCTCTTTAATTCTGCTCCATAGTTCACCGAGCCTAGACGCTGATCAGACTTTAAGCAAAGCTTTCAGTAATTGCAATCGATTTCTGTTAGAAGAAGAACCTTGATTGAAATTTTTCAGCTGTAACTTGGTTTCCACTCAACTGTTCATGAATCAACTCTTGAAATTTGATGTGAAATTACAGTACATTCCTGCACGTTTCATCTGAATAGTGATATACCATGTTTTAGACGACTGCACACACAAGCAACGCAAATACGAATGACTTACTTCTGAAATGTGAAAATATTCCTAACTTTCCGCTCTCTAGAAAATATACCCCATATTTCATCAGATGAAATCTTAGACTTATCTCAACCTTGAATGATTAATTAGCACCGGAACCACGGTTGACCGAAGACTGATGCTCAACTTTTCTGGAGTAGCTATCTCGATCCTGCATGGCCTAGTGATGAGAATACTAACTGAAGCAACTAATTTCGTGAAATGAAATATTTCCTCGAGATATGCATAAATAAATAAATAAATAAATAAATATATATATATATATATATATATATTACCTCGAGACCTGACCTGGAACTGCATCGATGGCCTTAAAATTATCAAGATAATTTATTACTCAAGAGTACTGCTAGAGGAATTTACTTATCCAATCATGGAAAATTTTGCGAGCTACCAAAAGTCTTAACATTTGCTAAGTCTTACTAAGCTACCTTATTCCATTGCAAAGAACGTTCTTCTTTCTTTTCAGATCTGATTACCAAGATCTGAATTAGCAATTCAGTTTGCTGATTAGCAAACTGAATGTCTTCACTTATTTCTGATAGTCTCTGTTGATTTTCAGATTAATTTTCCAGATGAAAACTGATAATATGAGAAAGCAACTCTTCAGCACACCTATCAGAGAGGAAATCTTTATTAACTACTCTTGAGCTATCCTGATGGTTTGCTAACACAGTTCTTGAAATTGTTCTCTGCTCTATAAAAATTAAGACATCCGTGACGAGAATCCCAAGGCCATCCCAATGACTGGCTCACTTTCATCTAAAAGCTGTAAACCTACTCTACGCCATACTTATGAAGGTACTTGACTCAAATATTAGGAACCAAACTGGTGGCATATGTAGACAATCAAAGCTACGGTAACGCTGATCTGTGCCAGTTCATAACTGCCTTGTTATACACCTGGGCATGAACTGAAACAAGAACACAGTAAGTTCTATTTTCCACGTCTCCGCATGGACAATCTGTTATTGTTAGTCACATGAAGGCACAGTTTGAGCAGATCCTTATCGGTAGATTCAGTTGATTCAATTGTCAGTCAGAACTACTCAACATCTGGGGAAGGTAGGGAGGCGTTCAAGGGCGGTTAGTTTGCCACGAATGCTCGGCAAGAGCATGAGCAATTTCCTCTCGCGGGCGCAGGAACCTCAGCCGTCGAGTTTGAATCCACAGAATCCAAATGTTTCTCGAGGCAATTGCATTGTTCATTTAGCCTACAAGTAAAGCCGTCGCAAGGACATACCGTCCTGGCCAGTTGATTCACCGGACTCGGTGTCGCGCAGCCGCAAGAGCAGCATCCATTCTCCAGGGTGCAATTTGGCGAAGAGGGCTCCCGGGCCACACAAGTGCAAATCTCACCGCTCTTACAAGCAACGTCCAGAGCTTCGCAGGAACAGCCTTCTTGAGGGTCGTCCGCGATCTCGGACCTGACGCAAGAACACGAGCAGGTGTCCTCATCTTGTGGCCATAGCACTCGCTTCACACAGAGGCAACTCTCGGACTGACTGCAGGTGTAGCCTTCGCACTTGCACTGCAGCCTCGGCACTGGCTTCTCAGGAATGTTCATCATTCTCTCATGGCACGAGCAAGAGCATGTCCCGTTGGACTCGTCTTCAAGACAAGCACAGTTTTGGGTCTGTGAACAAGTAAAGGCCTTGCACGGGCACTGAATTCTCTGCTGGAAATACTCCTCTGCTTGAACCTGCCACCGCAATCGCGAGCTTGTAACGAGGACGACCAGAATGAGCATCGGCAACCTCATCTGCTGGCCCATCCTTACTGTGTAGAAGACGTCCAGATTTCTAGGCCGATGTCAATGAAGCCTCTATCGGGATCTGGTATAAGAATAACAAACATGGCGAGCGCAGCAGTATACGACTACGAGATGAAGTCAACGAATACGACTCTGCTGTGTGACAGAGACGAGACCCACAAGAAGATCGCTTAGAGGAGCACAGGGCTGATGTTGACTACCAACGAGCTCAGAAGGCCGTCGTGCGACAAGATCTGCACGTAGCGAGTGTGCGTTGGAAACATGACGCACGAAAGCTGGAGCTTCGGTTGAGCTTTTCGATGAACCGTTCTGCGCGCATTTGATCATGTGATCGTGTTTCGCTGGACGACCATCTGGCGAACCCGCAACATGCACCTACTCGCGTCTCTCACAACCTTCATATGCACCGGCTCCAGGTTTGAGTGATCGTTCATGATCACATGTTTCCAAGTCTACGCTACCAAGATCGAGTCATATTTACCACTTTCCTCGCATCTAGTACAAATTTCGTCAACGCAATCAGCAGCCGCCCGAATGAATGACGCGAGACAACTTCACTGGACCAAAAATTTTCTCATCATTCTGTGAAGAATGCCAATGTAGTAGGTTGAATCTGACGGTTGATGTTACTAGTATGGCATTGCTGGAGTATTGCACCAAAGAGTTAAGTGTAGGTCGCGCATGTCATGTGGTAGTGTGATCGATCTCATGAGGGGTTCAATAAGAAAGTATCGCACCTTATCACCAAGTACTTATGTTCTACATATGTGTATATATATAACTTCCAGATTCAAAGAGAATGTTTCAATTTATGTATAGCGCAAAGGAACGGTTAGTTATTACTCACTTAGCGCTAATTAACCCTGACTCTAGTAGAAACAGTTTTTTTTATTGGTCGATGGAAAATAGTAGCAAATGCAATAGCAACTTTAAGATTTTCGATCAATCAGATAAGACTAATTAGCCCTCTAAGTGAGGGATAACTAGCCCCTGTAGCGTAATTATATTAGTGCTATATCAGTCACCAAGATATATTTAGTCGAAATGATTGAAAACTACTTCATGTAGGGAACAGGGTTGCAATGAGGCCGAAGGTGCAACAAGTAATTATATATATATATATATATATATATATATATATATATACACGAAAGTAAGTGTTAGTCTCCTCAAGATACTCAAAATTTCTTCTTAATTCACTGTAAAGTCAAAAGTGAAGCAATATGTGATTGGCATAAGTAGAGAAAAAGAGTAGAAAGTTGTCGAAATGTTGAGGGAGTACCAATATTGAACTAAACCTTTCTAACTCGTATTGATTAGACCGATAAGTCTTTCACCCCATATCTTATACTAATAGCCAAAGATATCATTTTTTTAAGTGTTTTATGCTTGCCACTCAAAAAAAAAGAAAAAAGGAAGTCAATTTGAGGGGCATGTTCGCCAAATAACCTCGTGAGTGAGTGATCACTTGAGACTGGAGAAAATCTATCGTGGAATATCATTAGTTTATAATGGAAAGCCATTTGGTAAAGTTACATAGTGGCATGACTTTTAGGGTGATGTTCTTCACTATCCACTCGCTTGTTTCTCCAAACAAGCGCAACATGACCTTTTTATGGCTTTACAGGTTCGTCTTTTCTACACCACTAGTAGATAGAGAGTTCCGTGCTAAAAGGAGGCATCTGGTTGTGATTGAGTCACAGAAGGGCAAAATGAGAAGGTAATGAACTAATAATTTGTTGATACATTGAGAAATTTCTACTTCCTTTTAGGACAAGATTCACATAATTACTTCATATTTTTGCTACTCCCATGGCATGCCGTACTGATACTAGGTGCAATTGTTGTGCCAAACAATGTCAACGTAAGCATCATACATGAAAACACCTAACAAAGTAACAAAGGAAATGACCAAATCACCATAAGTGAATTCCACGTATCTTATCAATCTTTACTCCCTGAATCAGTTTATCCAATATAATACAAAAAATTTTCAGGCAATAATTGATTCATACCGCATTTCCGTCAACATGATTGGAGAACAGGACGTAGTATTGAATTTTTGAGTCAAAGTTAGCATCCATAAACAAAACAACGAGATAATCTGATGCCTCTCACTCACTAACCACTTCAACAATAAAAGAAAGCCTACAAAATCAGCTACCTACTGCACTCTACGCAGCTAGCTTAATGACAACTAGCAGACGTCTTCAGCAACTCATCCATACGCTCTCATATCACACTTATAAAGCTTTTTTGGTTTATAAGATGCGGGGTCAACTCCTACCAAGTGCACTTCATTTACTAATCCAATCATCATCTTCATGAGAGCTTGGGAGCAGGTTTTATTTGATCAGACCCTTTGACGGATTTCCTTGTTGACCAGACCCCAGACTTTGTATTGCTCATGCGTCCTTTCAATGAGTTCCAGGCTTGATCTTTAGACATGGAGAAGAACCTGATCTGTGAAGGTTGCTATAGTACTGTACATCAAGCATTCGCTTATTGCATTGTCGTCCTTGAATAATAAAGCTCCTGGAATCTAGAATCTGAAACAGCTACAACTTGCTTATGTCCTTTTCGTATGTAAAACAACGATGGTACCCAGTCTTGTGAAAGTTATAAATGCAGGACTTTGCAAATGCTCTCACCCATCAAATCATCGAACACAAGCAAGCGCAAATATGGCTTTCCACAGCGGCTAGAGTTTTGACCGTTCCGGCCAATACAACCATGACCAGATGGGGTATGACCCTAAACCCATGCATGACCAATATATATCTATATATTTCAAGGGAAGAAACTTTGTAGGCCTTGCAGTCAACTCGTTGCTACAAAGAAGATATATCCGTGGTTCTATACAAAAATATTACTGGTGCATGTGCTACTATTCCAAGAGTCATACTGTTTACTCTTGCACATGAAGGGGATTTTAATGACATGATCAGAATTTTTGATATTCGAATTATAAAGAGTTAAATATCGTAGAAATTATGACATACCCATATAAAATTATGAGGAAAATGATGTATTTGATTTGATTTAATATATTATTGGAGCCACTTTCTACAATCTTTATATATTGTAGTCTTTAATTTGTATAAATTAGTACCACTGGAAACAACTATTTGAATTTTTTTTGTCATCCTCGTAATTTTCAGAAAATACGAAGATTAATTCTCAGAAATTTCAAATAAGGATGGGATTACAAGTAAAAAACGGAAAAGAAGCCAGTGGGAAGTCCCATTTGTGAAAAAGTGGTTAAATATGTCCACAAGATTCGCAGAAATTCTTTGTGCGGAGGTACGACCGAAAGGTGGAATTCATCGGAAAAAGATGTACCTGAAATTGATGGTGATTCGTGAATTTATGAGTGCGGGGCTTTAGATATTACCCCTGGAGGTACGAGTCCGTCCATGAGTACACCCGCGAGGAATCAACGGCCACTGCAGATTTTTCGGTGAATGTTGAACTCCAGGAGATTTCAGCCTCATCTCTGTAGCTACAACCTTGTACGGTACAGAACATACCACTTTCTAAAGCTCACCTCGTCCACACCCAAGCAACTGGTTAGGCACTCCTCGATTGCTTCACTTGACAGGCTTATATTTATTGACATAGATGCCGAAGTCCTATCCATCTTTCAAAGTTGACTTCAAGATCATGAAGATAAACTCTGCACGATAATGTGATGGAGTCCCATGAATTGTTTACACTTCTTTCTCACAAAATCGATGCTGCAAGTGCTCAGGACTGTAAAGCAACACTTTGCAATTATCACTTTGTATGCATTCTTTTACAACGCAAGTTCATGTGCAGCAATTGCGAACTTTGGACTCCTTCAGCGAGCGGAAAGTAGTTTCAAAAGTGAGTGATTGTTCAAGTTCTTCAAATTCGGTTTATCCTCATGATCGTTCTGAAGTGGAGATTAGATATGTAGTCGTGAAATAGTGGCTTATCATAAGAGATTCGTTCTTCACGTTTTATTTTGAAATAGAGCCTTGACTTTTCGATCTAGGTTAGTCTTTCACTTTAACTTCAGTGGATTGATTTTCTAGCCAATTTTCCCATGTCTCTCCTGTTGCACGTGTTTCGAATAGAGTTATTTATAAGTACATAATCTCCAGGTTTTTTAAAGATGTGGTGAAGAATATAGAGTCCACTGAACTTAGACGCCAATCTTGTATGGCTTGCTACTTCTGGCTTCGGTCAATATCTCCAACGCTCTCAAGAACACGGACGAGATTACCATATTCTAATTCTGTTCCTGCAAGCTTCAATCTTGCCATGATGTAAGATGACAAAAAGAATGCTTCCTGGTCAAACACGATGATGAAATACCAATCACAACATATTACACAACGACTGACAATATTGAGCGAAGGTGAGCTATCAAGATAGCAAGGGATTTGAGGTTCATTTCATCTGCTTGGGCTTCTAGTAGATCTGGCTTCAAGTATTATGAAAAATTCATAAATATTGGGTTAGTTTATGGTGGTGAGAGAGAAGCTTGATCTATTTAGAGACATGTAAAACCAGGACACTCTACATATCTAGTAGATGCTTGTAAATCTATCTGGAAATATATGGAGGTCATACTATGGCTAAACAGTGATGCATGAGCTGTGTATATAACTTGAGATCATTCAATTCAGATGCAGTGCATTAATTGGCTATGCATAAATCTGAAAATGTATAGCCTGACGGGTCCATGCTCAGAGTGTTCGCGTAGGTGGCCCTCTCCTTGCATGCTTGACAGTGCCATGCTCTTCAGCTAGGGCCTCTAGGACCGTAGCTGCATGTATCGATCCTACGTCGTCTACACCAGCGGACTTTCATCTTTCCTCGCCCGACCCGCGAACAGTTCGTCATGGGTATCCGCAATCTATCTCCATTGAAATCCGTAATATCTCTCTAAATCTTTCAGAAGAGCATGGGATCCTGGAGCAGGGTTTGGACGAAACGTTTTACTTCATTTCATGTCGCTCTCACACAGAGAACATAGAACATAGTTAATTAGAACGTATTAGGCCATGTGATTCTATCATAGCTTTGGTTTTACTATCCCTATGTTCTCAGTACCTACACACTCGATTATATTGGAACACTCAACTCAAATTGATTCGAAACAAGTTTAGTTGACAGAAGCCTGAATTTATCGAACTTTCATTTCCTGATTCCCCATCTGCGAGCTTCTGATATTCTGAACAGGGGCACACCAAATGATCTCACAGGATACAGATCTAATGAAACTCGAAGTCATGTATGTAGGTTCTTCTTTGTATGTTCTGCACCAGCGTTGATCTCTAAAAATACATGCGTCTTCTGCCAAATGTGTGGCGCTACATGGAACTACTTTATCTTACTTGAAAATAGACATCGGAGTACACAATTTTGTGGAAACTGGTTGTGCATATTAGTAATTAAACTAGCTTGATGAGGTCAGGGCTCCACTCCTTAGCACGGAAAAATGAGAGCAGGAGAGCATGTAGAGTATGAACGGAGTAAAAGTGACGGGGGTAGAAAATCAAAGAATGATAAAGGAGGACGATTTAAATCTCTGAGAGTTATATTTGCTGCAACGAGCAGCCGGTCATTTACGTGTGTCGCCTTTTGAGAACAGTATAATTTTATGCATCCATCAAAGACTGATGTGGATGTCAGTTCCGATTGTTGTAAGTTGTTCTAACGT